ATTTTAAAAATTTTAATTAATTAATTTGTGACCCCCGTAAATCATTTTGAGAGTGTGGAAATTGTAGTAAATATTGTAATTGCCGGAAATTGAAAAAGCGGGGACATCATGGAAACAGATAGAAAAGGCTGCTCAGGACAGGCTTCGCTGGAGTAATGTTGTTGATGGCCTGTGCTCCACTGGAAGTTAAAAGGGGCAAGAGAGAGAGATTGTAATTGCAGGTATATAGGCCTACCTTTGAAATAGAATTTGAGTGTTGATGTTCACTAATGTTGCTAAAGAAACAGTCATGGATATTGCTTGAAGTTTATTTTAAAAGACAGTATAGGCCTATCCAGTTTTAGACACAATTGAGTTATTCACTCCACCTGATAGTTTAAAACATGCCAGACATTTCTGCCTCGTTCTGGTATTGATATTTTATTAAATAATGAGGGTAAAGTGTTTTGAAGATATTCAAAGAGACTGGCTTTTGAGAGGTGGGGATGGGGTGTCTTTTGGCTCTCCCGAACAATTTACCAAACTGGAAACGCTGTCTTTAAAATACAACTCCTGATTGGTCTTCGCAACTGCGTATGGTCGAATGAGGGCATTGTATCAGAGAGGGTTTTTTAAAATCTCTATTCAAACAAACAAAATAAAAATCCAAGAGAGTTTTTTTAAAGTTTCGTCATCCCCTCTCCCCCCAGGATGTCAGCGGGTATGGCAGGGATGCCAGCTGCGGCCAGCAGCACCATAAACAGCTACAGTCAGGGACCCATGGCTCCCAGTGCAGGGCCTCCGGGACAGCACCAGCAGTCCTACATGGGAACACCTATGGCCAACTCGCAGATGCAGCTACGACAGCAGGTAAACACACACACACTCTCACACACACATACAGATACACACGCACACAGACATGCAGATACACACACACAGACATGCAGATACATACACACACACACAGCACCAGAAGTCCTACATGGGAACACACATGGCCAACTCACAGATGCAGCTACGACAGCAGGTAAACACACACACACACATGCACACACACACATACATGCAGATACACACATACACAGCACCAGAAGTTCTACATGGGAACACCCATGGCCAATTCACAGATGCAGCTACGACAGCAGGTAAAGACATACATGCACACACACAGACATGCAGACACACAGCACCAGCAGTCCTACATGGGAACACCCATGGCCAACTCACAGATGCAGCTACGACAGGTAAACACACACACACGCACACACACACAGTAGAAAGGGGGGGGGCTTGGGGTTCACCCTTATAGTAGACTTGCAGAGAAACAGGAACACACACACAAACTGATGGATGCAGCTATGACAACAGGTGAAGGGAGGGGTGTGGGAAGGGGACCTGTGTCTTGGGGGGAAACATGCAAACATACATACACAGAAAAGACAGATACATTCATAGGGAGACATATACACATACACAAATACACAATCGCGTGCGCACGCACACCCACACACACACACTCGCACATCTCACAGATCCAGGCAGCTCCGACAACAAAGAAAAGAGCAAAAGACTTTAGGACACTTACGCACCTATACACACCAACGCATAGGCTACATATGTGAAGGGATGTCTAACACAGTTGGCCATTAAAATTAGAGAGGGTTCTGTCGTAGTTTTCTTCTCAATCTTCATTGAGTTGTTGTGGCTTTTTTTTTCCCCCCCTTTTTTTTCTGTGCAAATTTTTTGACCATATCTGTACGAGTTTATTCTTCACCCGTAACCTCAAAGTAAAGATTACTTTTTTTGTTTTATCAATGTCTTTCTTTTTGTTTTCCTTTCGATCTTTCTTTCTTTTTCTTTCTACCTTTCTTTCTCTTTTTTTTCCTCGTAAAATTTTACCATTTTTAATTTTTCAAACTCCTATCAGATGATGGCAATGCAACAACAGCAGCAACAACAACAACAGCCGCAGCCTGGGATGACCCCGATGCAGGCGCCACAACAGCGAAACGTCATGTCCATGCGGCGCATGTCGTCCGGCATGCAAGGCCCGCCCCCCGGCCCAGCCCCGCAGTACGGCTCCTACCCTCAGTATTGACCTGTGAACCAGTGGACCTGATGAAATGGCATGTCATTGTTGGGTTATGACTGGGGGATTTTTTTTTTTGGGGGGGGGGGGGTGTAAGGACATAGGAATAGTAGTTGACCGGATTTATTCTTTTTTTTTTGGTGACATACGAACAGTAGGGGACAGGTTAATTGTGACATATATGAATAGTAGTGGAATTTTATTTTATTTCATAAAAACTTTTTTTTGTTTTGTTACTGTTACATATGTATAGTGGAGGACATTTTTTCTTTTTTTTTTAATACTTTATTGTGACATAAGAACAGTAGTGGACACAATTTTTTTTTCCTGTTTTTTAATCGTGACATGTGAATAGAAGTGGACCTTTTTTTTTTACTTTGTTGTGACATACGAATAGTCGTGGACATTTGTTTTTCTTTCTTGTGACGTAAATAGTCGTGGACATTTTTTGTAATTTAAATTCGTGTGTGTGTGTGTGTGTGAATGTGCATGTATGTGAATGTAAGTACGTATCTGTGTGAATAAGTGTGTGTGTAACAGAGAGAGCGAGAAAGAGAAAATGTGTTAGGAAGTGCATGCGCTGAGCCAAGTTCTATTTGTGGTGATCAATAAATTGTTATCTTGTCTTCGATCTTGTTAAGATTTCATACACTTGTCTCGTTTTTTTCCCCAAGTAAAATATGGACTTCTATCACATCCAACCCACGGGGAAATAGACAGATATCTTTGGTTAAAAAACACCTGTAGATATCTGGAACTCGTGGCATTGATCATCCAGTGGTGAGGCTATTGGCCTGGCAAATGAAAGGGATGGGTTCAAACCTGTCAGGGGCTTGACATTGTGTCCAAGGGGAAAGACATTTTACACAAATCTTTTTCAGGAAGATAAATGGCGATTGGGTGATCTATATATTTGGAAGCTAGGGATCATTATCATCATCACCATTGTTTTTCTTTTCCTGGATCGAGCCTAGGTCACGCTCACATATGACCTTTATGCGGTTGCAAGTTCTGTAAAACAATTGCCAAAAACTTACCAAGGGATGTCTAAGTCTAACACAGATGGCCATTGAAATTAGAGAAGATTCAATCGTAGTTTTCTTCACAAACAAGAGTCACCTTGGCTTTACTCCAAGACTTCGGTTGAGATGTTGGTTGAGGGGTACATGTTGTGTTCTAAGTTGGAAGATTGTTATGGATTGATCTCCCCTCTTCAACTCATTGATTGGGTCTTTGACCAGTGGTTTATTCATGTGGCCATACACCCTCCTTCCTGTCGTACCTGTGGCCCAATCATTCATCCAGTCTTCCTTGAGGTTTGACTTGATCATTTGGCAGCAGGTGGTGTAATCAGTAGGAATTTCAGGCTGAGGGAGGCTAGCTCCTTTCTTTGCTAGAGCATCAGCTCTTTCATTTCCCGGTATCCCAGTGTGGGCAGGAATCCATTGTACGATACAGTTGTATCCCAGTGTGGGCAGGAATCCATTGAACGATACAGTTGTATCTCAGCGTGGGCAGGAATCCATTGTACGATACAGTTGTATCCCAGTGTGGGCAGGAATCCATTGAACGATACAGTTGTATCTCAGCGTGGGCAGGAATCCATTGTACGATACAGTTGTATCCCAGTGTAGGCAGGAATCCATTGTACGATACAGTTGTATCCCAGTGTGGGCAGGAATCCATTGTACGATACAGTTGTATCCCAGTGTGGGCAGGAATCCATTGTACGATACAGTTGTATCTCAGCGTGGACAGGAATCCATTGTACGATACAGTTTAAAAACATGAAAAACAAAAGTTTCACAACAGAATTAAAATGAAATCAAAATAAGAACAGCACAGAAACAACCACAAAAAATAACAAATAAGGGCGTGTGTCTACCTATCCGAAGATTGGCCGTTTTAACCCTAAATGTGTGTAATTCAAGAAAAAGTATAGGATATTAGCACAGCATGTGAATTATGGAACCACACACAAGGGGCCTGCCAGTGTCAGCATTTGGTTTTTGATGGAGACACACTCTAACATAACACATTTTTATATTTATATGTAGGAACAACATCACATTAGATATATTATACAATGGGTATACACAAAAAAATTAGAAAAACAACACATCAGAACAATTTTTAACAAATTAACACCCCAACAATAAATTAAAACACAACAAAGAAGGAAAAATAAAAGACAAACAGCAATATATTTATAGTATGTAATGTACATACATTCTTTGCATGAAAATAACCATCATGGACACCTTAAAATTATCAAAATACATGTCTAATATTGTTATGAAATAGCTTTTTGTGTTGAAAAGTGTAAAAATCTCGGCAACGATTCGCGGACCAAAAAATGCCAAAAATCGTCGCGAAAAACGCAGATGCTAGTTTTAGGGGCCATTCATAAAAGACGTCACCTAAAATTTGGCCAAAAGTTGTTCTCATGTCTGCTGATGTTTCATGAGTGACAGGTGTTCCTGGTTTTAGTGACGTGCCAGCATCAGAGGTCCAGATGTCTTTCTTTCTTTCTTTTTTTACATTTTTCATTCCTCTATACAGCTGAAAGTTACAGAGATTATATTTTTGGGTTGTTTTTTTTCTGACTGATGTGTATTGTTTTCTTTCCAAATACACACACAATTACTGATACTGATATGTTCTGTTTTCAATTCTTCTGTACATAAAACAACGAAATTCTTGTTGAAAAAATGCAAAATATGTTGTGAATGGCGTTACGGTAACTTGCATAATTTTGCATTTGCCTTGCTTAATTTGGCCATCTAATTTTGCATAAAATTCTGTGGGGAGAGATTTGAACTTTTATTTCCGTACTGCCGGTTTCACGTAGTTTACAACACATTGCCTTGCCTCTGCAAAAGCAGAGCGGCGGCCACCGGGATGTACATTTCACATTTTCTATGCTCTGCGTAGTACCGTGTTAGCCGCTCGGTTCAAACCAGAAAGCGGGCCGTTGCCCGAATGATCGTTTTCCCGGCCAACCTTCTGGTTTGAACAGAGCGTTACACCCTTGCGCCACGGTGAGGCCCGGTACTTCCGACTTCCGCAAGGGGGGG